CCATGTGAAGCTTCAGAAAAGGAAATGAAAAATATATATATGGGGATACATTCTGGAAAAAGTCTTCAATGCAAAGGCCAAGAACTGGCAAACAAATATATACGCAGTATTTTATATTAGTGATATACTATATCTTATCTTTTTATAAATATATATATATAAAAGTGAAAGACCACTCATGAATCATCACAAAATCTCCAGAACCGTAAAGCCTACAAACTTGAAATTTGGCACGTATGTTCCTCTTGGCTTCTAGGTGCTCACTAGGAAAGGATTTTTCCAAATGACTGTCAGAGCATTAGTTTTTCCTATATTATTATTAACACACTCTGATGCTAAAGAGTTCTACTCCCCTGCCCCACCTGAAAAGAAATCTGATCCAAATGCAAAACACAAGCAGAGGAGTTTCAGTTTCACAGCAGCAACCAGCTTTATTACTGAATAGTTGAGCTAAGCCACTCCCAGGCTCTTTGCTGTCTCCTTCTTGCTCACACAGGAAATACTGTTTCAGTTTCCAAACAGCCCTTAACTCTCACGCACTGACAGGACGCTAGCCAGATGAATACCGATGGATGCCAGTAGGCAGAGGCACAATTTCCCCCCCTTTATTTTCCTCCCACAAAACTAAGCCCGAACCACATAGTTTCATAGCGAAGCACGGGTATCAAGCTAGTATTATATATGCAGTATTTTATATCAGTGATATACTATATTAATATATATTAGTATTTCTTGGGAAGGCCGAAGATCATCACATTCCGTTATTCCCATTTAATATCCTTTCGTCTGTAAATCTCTCAATTCTCCAATCACGTGTATTTTTTTCCCTCCAATTTCAACTTTCCTTTGTAAGAGAAGGTGTCGCAAAGAGCATTCACTGGCAATGATACGGTTCTCAGAGAAAATATTTATAAGGCCCTTTAAAGCTGGTTTTTAGTTATGTTGAAGTTTAGGGTCTGGAGGCTGGCCTTTTAGGGTCTTCAAACTTGGCAATTTTAAGACCTGTGGACTTCAAGCCCCAGAATTCCCCAGCCATGATGGAATTGAAGTCTACAAGTTGAAGTCGACAAGTGTTGAATATTGTCAAGTCTGGGGAATCCCTGAATGAAAGCAAAGAAAACATGGCAACTAATATGAACAGAAATGTTCCCAGAAGCTTATATAAACAAACACATCACAAGCCTAGCAAGTGTTTGTGTTTACAAAACCCTAACTACAGAAACAAGTAGAAATAGTGATTTTAGGCATGGCTTTCTGAACTGATTTATCTTTGGATACTTTATGAGTTAAAAATACTGTGGGTAGAGTGCTGATTAATTGATAGATGAGATAGATAGTACTGATTAATTGATAGATAGATAGATAGATAGATAGATACAGGCTTTGAATGTAATTTCTTTTGTGATAATCTTGTGTTTGTGTCTTGTGTGTGTATGTGTGTGTGTGTGTCTACATCTATCATCATCTTCTTTTAACGACCCCATAATAACCCCTTGAGGGGTGGATTCTGGGCAACTGAATGGAGCTAGCAGAGTGTTTTCTGGCCGGATGCCCTTCCTGTCTCCAGTTTTGTTTTGCAGATATATTGTTTTGTTCAGCAGATATATTCCCATTGTGAGAGAAATATCTGCCTCTACCTAAGATCGAACTCACAGCCTCCTGATTGTGAGGTGAGAGATTCACCTCTAGGCCACCGCACCACTCTGTATGTATCTATATTTGTCTCTATCTATTAATCTATCTATCCATCCATCCATCCATCCACCCATCCAATGTTTTATCAACAAGAATAAAATGCAGAACAAAGGAAACAGGAAAACATATTCAACAGTAACAAATAATTTTTTTAAAGTATAAAAATAAGTAACCCAAACATCAAACAAATCTAACAACATACCAATGGCTCATTTCTTTTGCATAGTCTATAGATATTGTTCATGTCTGTGTGTCTACTGATGGCTAATTTGTCAGAGTGCCAAGCTTCTAGAAATTCCCTGGCGGTTTCTGACTTGAACGAGCTGTTTCGTGCTGAAATTCATGGTGACTCTACCTGTTAAAGCTTACCTGTATAGGCCATGTCACAAAAACAGACGCCTGAAATGCAGTCTCCCTGGCCATTGCAGTAGTTGGGACACGGCTCTGAAATATACACCCCGTCCAAGCCAAAGGGAGGAAGGCTCTTTTGCGAGCGGCTCTCTTGTATCCAGCGGAACCTGGTCTTTCTACATTGAGGGGCAGAAATACCAAAGCTGTTGCTGATTTCTTTGAAAACGTGTGCTAGTTTGCAAATTTTTATTCTCCAAAGACATAACCAAGTTGTTTTGTGGGCTTAAGTATCTCTGTATAACATGTTCCATGGGACAATGGGATACACATAATTTTAATTAGGTATTATCTATATGACACCCATCTGATTACTAGAGTGATTGTGGGTGGCTGATCATCTACATATTTCATTCCTTCTTTCCTTCCTTCTTTCTTTCTTTCCTTCCATCCGTCTGTCCTTCCTTCCTTCCTCTTTCTTTCCTTCCTTCCTCTTTCTTTCCTTCCTTCCTTCTTTCTCTTTCTTTCCTTCCATCCATCCATCCGTCCTTCCTTCCTCTTTTCTTCCTTATTTCTTTCTTTCCTTCCTTATTTCTTTTTCTTTCTTTCTTCCATCCATCCTTCCTTCCTTCCTTCCTTCCTTCCTTCCTTCCTTCCTTCCTTCCTTCCTTCCTTCCTTCCTTCCTCTTTCTTTCTTTTCTCCTCCCTCCCTCCCTTCCATTTATATGGCTACCCACTCACTCTCAGTGACTCTGGGCAGCATACAAACAATTAAAAAAAACCAATATAAACCAATAGTATTTAATGATTACTGGCCCAAAATAAGACAGTACAACTACAAAACCACGAAAACTTTACTATTTTTAAACTACTGTGTTTGAATGACTGAATCAACACGATTATGTTGAAAGAACACGATGAGCCGTAGTGGCACAGTGGTTAGAATCCAACATTGCAGGCTATTTCTGCTGGTTGACAGGAGTTCGATCCTCACCAGGCTCAAAGTCGACTCCCCCCTCCAGCCTTCTGAGGTTGGTAAAATGAGGACTCAGATTGTTGGAGGCTGACTCTATAAATCGCTTAGAGAGGGTTGTGAAGCACTGTGAAGCGGTATATAAGTCTAAGTGCTATTGCTATTGTGTCAAGCACAGAATAAGATACAGTACAGTACAGATCAGTTTCAGGATTTCAGCCACAATCCGATTTGGTCGTGACTGAATTGTCTGCGCATGCATGGACAAACACCCCCCCCCCAAATGGTGGCAAAGGGGAAATTGGTGCAGAAAGGGAATATTTCCATGCCGATTTTGTTCGCCATCCGATTTTTGAAGCATGACCCGATTCAAAATTCGGGCAGATTTTTTGTTCACCACCCGATTTGGTCGTGAACAGGAGTGTTCGCAACCCGAGGTTCCACTATAGGTGGTATCCGTGGGCACCAATGTGCCATAAACTCATGGAACCCACTAGTACAGTGATGGCTAACCTTTTCCATGTTGAATGCCAAAAGTGCCTGCGCTCGCTTGCCTGCACCCATTATGCAATGCACGTGTGACTCCTCCCATCTCCCTGCACCATACGCCTCTGTGCATGCGCACCCCCCCCCCCACCAGCCAGCTGATTGTTGGGTATCTGTGCACGCATGCTCAGTGGGGCTCTTCTGGGAGACCTCTCGCATGCTGGCAGAAGTGGCTCTGTGTGCTACTACTTGCATGTGTGCCATAGGTTCACCATCATGGCACTAGTCTCTCTCCTCTCTGACATTCAGAATAAATATCATGTCATTCATGCCACGCCATGCCATGCCATGCCATCTCTCACCTCATCCTATCTCATCCCATCCCATGCCTCCTCCTCTCCTCCCTCCTCTTCTCCCATCCCATACAGTAAATACAGTATATGATCCTGACAGCAGGGGTGGGATTCAAATATTTTAACAACTGGTTCTGTGGGCGTTGCTTATTTGGTGGGTGTGGTTTGGTGGTCATGTGACTGGCTGGGCGTGGCCAACTCAACATCACTCACATCGAGGCACGCATCTCCTCACCAGGTCTCTCATGACCGTGGAGATGCTGCAACAGTCATAAGTGTGAAAAACGGTCATAAGTCACTTTTTTCAGTGCCATTGTAACTTTGAATGGTCACTCCACATAAGCAAAGTACCAGCAAAGGAGGGGAAAAAAACTCCAGAGAAGTTCCTGAGACAGGAAGTCTAGTCCTGCCAAGAATGTAATAAGGGTTAACGGAGAGGCAGTTTCTGTAAGCAACACCAGAATGTTTCCTTCCTGCCTTCCTTACAGGATTAGGCCAGTAATTTCTTCTAACAACCTGTTATCTGAACTGCTTAGAATGTTAACAACCGGTTCTAGCCAATAGCTGCGAACTGGTAGAATCCCACCCCTGATCCCATTCCATTCCCTGCCCTTTCTTACCCAACCCTACCATGTTCAACACACTTACAAGCAACAGCCTCAATGGTAGGGAAACAATCCCATCTCCTTGTCTACTGTTTAAAAAAAAAACACCCTAATTCCCAAATTGGATAATCTGAATTTATACATCGGCAGCCTACAATGGAAGGAGTCAAACAAAACTTTGTATAATTGAGCCCACAATAATCCACACAAATTCGACAGATGGGTTTCACTAGTATATCGACAGCAAATACCACGTGAAAAATCTATATATTCCTCTGAACAGGTTGGTTGGAGGCAGAATTTATACACAACAAAGAAACGTTCCCATAACACACTGCAACTTCGAATAGACTCCATTACCATTAATGGAATTGGTTCCAAAGGGAATATTTTTAGATCCGGGTGCAAATCTGTCACAACTGTTATAGCATGGATACAGAGAAGGCGGGGAATAACATCCCATCTGTAATTGCAATCGATACATGCAATTATGCTGATTAGCTTGATTAGCATTCTTGGGGAGCTGAAAAATGTTATGTCGAGTCTGGTGCCTCGTCCCAGTTATATGACAGACATAATGTGAAACAGGCTGCCTCTTATCGATTGGGTACTGTTTCCGTTGGGCAAAGCAATCTCATCAGTGTCTGTGTGACTTGGCAATTGTGTTTGTTGGTTAATTAAAGGGAAATACTTTTGAGTAGAACGCTCACTGTTTATGTGTTTTCATCCTACCAAGAAGGCTCTTCGTTCTCTAAACTATTACAGCATGCCTTGTGCTGTAATTATTTGTTAATGGAGTAACAGAAGGAGATTGTCTAAAAACACTTAGACAAGAAGATAAAATACATTTGGCCAGGCTGTTAAAAAAAAAAAGAGAAGAGATGCAATAAAAAAAAAACACACATTGCAAGTAGAGCTGTTTGTTAAATTTTTAGCTATTGTACTAATATCTTGGAAGAAGAGGAGACTTGGTTATGATTCTGAGCAAAACAGAAGAACAGAGCAGAATAATGGAGCTGGAAGGGACCATGGAGGTCTTCTAGTCCAACCCCTTGGTCAAGCAGAAGACCCTATACCCATGATGGCGAACCTACAGCACGCGTGCTGGAAGTGGCCCATAGAGCCACTTCTGCCGGCACGCTAGAGGTCACACAGAAGAGCCCCACTGCGCATGCACATGCACCGCACGGCCAACAGCTGATTGTCAGGTACCTGGCGTGCATGCGAAGAGGGAGGGGGTGTGCAGGAGACGTATGTGCATGCACAGAGACAGGTGGCGTGGGCATGCGGGGTCTTGCGTGCATGCGCAGGGGCGTGCCCAACCCACTTGTATTGCCTTCTGGGTGCTGGCACACAAGCGCGCGCGCGTGGGAGCGAGCACGCAATTTTCGGCACAGGAGCCCAAAAAGGTTAGCCACCACTGCCCTATACCATTTCAGACAAGTGGCTGTCCAGTCTCCTCTTAAAAACCTCCAGGGATGGAGCACCAGTGGTAAAATGCTACCGGATGAGCTGAACCGGTAGCAAAAATTGCTACCGGTTCGGCCGTACAGGTAATTAAAAAAAAGCTCTGATGATCAGCGGAGAGGAGAAAGACGAGAAAAGCGCAGGATCATCCCTCCCACCTGCCCCTTGAGCTTTTCTGTTCTTTATACTCTCGGCTGATTGGCGCTGCAGGTCTCAGTTGGTGTTTGGAAAGCTGCTCACGCGCGTTAGATATGCGTCTGCGCACGCGCGAAGAGTGTGATCACAGAACCAGTAGGGAAACTGGTAGAATCCCACCACTGTGGAGCATCCACAACCTCTGGAGGCAAATTGTTCCACTGGTTAATTGTCCTCACTCTTAGGAATTTTCTCCTTAATTCCAGGTTGTTTCTCTCCTTGATGAATTTCCATCCACTGTTTCTGGTCTTGCATTCTGGTGCTTTGGAGAATAGCTTGACCCCCCTCTTCTTTGTGGCAGCCCCTCAAATATTGGAATGTCACTATCATGTCACCCCTAGTCCTTCTTTTCAAGGTGTTATACTTCGTGGAATCCTCCCACCTTACGTTCAGAAATAATAACTGAAAATAATTGAAAAGGGTTTTAGTCTCCAAGAAAGAGTTACCTGTTAGAAGTTAGAGAAAAGGAAATTCTAATGTTGTCTGGGCATTTCAAAGAACATGGTGTGACCTTGGTGATACAGCTATTATGGCTTCCAATTTAGTTTCTGGATTCTCGTAAAATACAGGTAGTCCTCGACTTATAACTTTTCACTTAGTGACCATTCAAAGTTACAACGGCACTGAAAAAAGTGACCCATTTTTCCACACTTATGACAGTTGCAGCATTCCCATGGTCAGCTGGTCAAAATTCAGATGCTGACTCATATTTATGATGGCTGCAGTGTCCTGGGGTCACGAGATCTGCTTTTGCGAACTTTCGACCAGTGAAATCAATGGGGAAGCCCTATTCGCTTAACAACCATGTTACTCACTTTAAAAAAAAAATGCCACGATTTGCTTAACCACTGTGGCAAGAAGAGTTGTACAATGGGACAAACTCACTGAAGCGAGATTTCACTTTGGGATCAGTTGGGGTTGTAACTCCCTGAAGTCGATAAAAGTTAGTAACCCGGTTGTTAAGTGAATCCGGCTTCCCGTTTTGACTTTGCTTGTCAGAGGTCACAAAAGGGGAATCACGTGACACACACACCCCGGGACACTGCAACGATCATAAATAGGAACCAGTTGCCAAGCGGCTGAGTTTTGATCGTGGAGATGTTGCAAAAGTCGTAACTTTGAAAAACAGTCGTAAGCAGCGGTGGGATTCGGACTGGTTCGGACCGGTTTGGGCGAACCAGGTGTTCAAGTTACAGCTGGTTCACTGAACCAGCATTTCACCTGACCGGCTGGCCCCTCCCCTCCTGCCCCGCCCCTTCCAGGAGTCTCCACGTGGCCCATTTTTGATGGAGGTAAGTGCAGGGTCTGTGCGGAGGTTCGGGGAGGAGAAAAAAATGGGTCTTCTGGAAGTCCAGAAACGGGCCTGGTTCCGGCTTCTGGAGGGTTTCCAGAGGCTGGGGAAGGCTGTCTTTGCCCTTCCAAAAGCCCAGGGGAGGCCTCTGGACCCTTGGGAGGGCACAAACGGCCTCCCCCAGGCTCTGGAGATCCACCAGAAGCCAGAAACAGGAAATTCTGGTGGCCCCGCCCACCATGGCCCCGCCCACCCAGCAACTGGGCAGCGAATTGGTTGCTTGGATTTTTTAATCCCACCCCTGATTGTAAGTCATATATTTCAGTTACAACTTTGAACGTTCACTAAACAAACTGTTGTAAGTCGAGGTCTACCTGTGTTTGCCAATAAGCCCTGCTGGGAGATGGAGATGTCACATAACTGGGTTTAAATCCATAAATATCTCAAGTTACCTCGCAGCGAGCGATCTCGGAACAACAATAGTGATCCTTGTCCACTCTTCAAAATCTCCCGCGTAATACATGGTTGGCGCCGTCAATTCCCTGGTGCTCCCTTCGCATCCTTTCACCCCGGGGGATGCTGGGAAGCAGCCCTCCTTCACCAGCGACCAAGACAAGCCGGCATCGTGGGAATACTGAAGAAGAACTGGAGCCGAGCTACTGAACTGATCTGTGCATCCAATGTTCAGCTGCGAAGTTGAAAACATGTTGAAGGTGTAAGAGGAAAACAGAAGTGTTAAACTGCAGGGGTCTTTCAAACTTGACAGTTTTAAGACTTGAGGACTTCACCTTTTAGAATTCCTCCTCCAGTCATGTTAGTTCAGGAATTCTGGGAGTTGAAGTCCACAAGTCTTAAACTTGCAAGTTTGAAGACCCTTGGGTTAAAGCAACGACTTGTGTGGCGCTTAACACCGATAGATAACGATGCGCATAAATCTGTTTTTAATTTTTGGATACGTACTTTTATTCCGTTCCTTTTTTCATAATTGCTTGCATATTTTTTTAAAATCACATATACCTAAACCTTTTTGTTCTCTTTAAATGCACAAGTGTGTATAAATAACAGATAACAGATAATCAGAGTTGGAAGGGACCTTGTAGGCCATCTAGTCCAACCCCCTGCCCAAGCAGGAGACCCTACACCATTTCTGACAGATGGGAATCCAATCTCTTCTTAAAAGTCTCAAGTGATAGCGCTCCCACAACTAGTTGGTTGATTCAGAGGTGGTGAATTCAGCAGGTTCTGACCAGTTCTGGAGAACTGGTAGCAGAAATTTTGAGTAGTTGGGAGAACCGGCAAATACCACCTCTGATTGGAGATTTTACAGTATCCTTCCCCTGCTATGCCCACCAAGCCACGCCCACAGAAACGGTGGTAAAAAAATTTGAATCCCACCACTGGGTTGATTGTTCTCACTGTCAGAAAGTTTCTCCTTATTTCCAGGTTAAATCTCTCTTTGCTATTTAATTCCAAAATATTCAGTGACAGAAGGAACAGTGCAAACTGCATTCAGCCTCATCAGTAGCTATGCTGACTGGAATTTCTGAACTGCTGGATACACCTAACAGCAACTAACAGTAACAGAGTTGGAAGGGACCTTGGAGAGCATCTAGTCCAACACCCTGCTCATGCAGGAGACCTATATTATTTTTGACAAATAGCTGTCCAGTCTCTTCTTAAAAGCCTCCAGTGATGGAGCACATCACAACTTCTGGATGCAAGCAGGTTGTTTCTTTTCACTGTTAGGAACACACCAATATGAAACTAGTATCTCATCCAGAACGCGTATATAGAAAGTCCTTGAATTATGGCCAGAATTGAGCCCAAAATTTCTGTTGCTAAGCCAGCCAGTTCTTCAGTGAGTTTAGCTTCATGATACAACCTTCCTTGCCACAGTTGTTAAGTGAATCACTACAGTGGTTATGTTAATAACACGGTTGCTAAGTGAATCTGGCTTTCCCTTTGACTTTGCTTGCTTAGAAGATTGCCAAAGTTGATTGTGTGAGCCCGGGACATTGCAACCGTCACAAATACATGCCAGTTGCCAAGCATCTGAACTTTGATCACATGACCAGGGGGGATGCTGCCATGGTCGCGGGTGTGAAAAATGGCCGTGTGTCCCTTTTTGAGGGCTGCTGTAACACTGAACAGGCAGTAAATGGAAGGTTGCAAGGCAAGGTCTACAATGGTGGGATGCTTACGGTTCTCACTGGTTCTAGCGATCCAGTTGCACCGGTCAACAGTTGGCCCCTGCCCTTTCTTGTCCTATATTTCCTTTGTTTGTAGCTCAGCTGATTTGCGCGGCAGAGCGGATTGCTGCACCTCAGCTGTTTTAATCACCAGCACTGATGATAAGGTAAGTATTCAAGCTTAAAATTGCTGCTTTTAGAACGTTCCGCGCACGCACAAAGCACACACCCACAGAACCGATAGTAAAAAAGTTTGCATCTCTCGTGGTTCGCCGGCAGCCGATGCAGACGGCAGCAGAATAGGACAGTGGGGAAGAATGGGGACCAGTCAGGGAGTCTGGAGAGGACTCGGACGAGGGTCCTGTGTCCAATGCAGGGATGGGGCCAGGACCATCAGGGAGTGGGGTGCTGACTCCGGAGCCTGGCAGCAGCGAGGCAGAGGATCCAGGGGAGCCTGTTCCCAGTGCACATGTGCGCAGAGCTGCTAGATGGTGAGAGCAGCTGAAACAAAAGGGGCAACTCAGGAGTAAGACTGGGAGGTGATTGCCCTTCCCATAAGAGATAAAAGTCAGGCCAAGATGATGAAACCTTTGCAGGAAGGAAAGTAGTTTGATCGGTTCCGAGTCATCCTTGAAGCTCTTTGTACTTTGATTGGTTTTTCTTGTACTTCGGTTGGCTTCTTTTCTAGTTAATTGGATACTTCTGATTTGGCAGCACTTCACAGAACTGAAAGGTGTGTGCTTATCTTGGGGAACTGTTTGAGATGAATTCCGGCTGGGAATGAAAGCAATTCCCAGCGTTGCAATAAAATAGGTTTTGTTTTTAAAACAAATTCGTGAATAATTATGGTTTACAAAGCCTGGTTCTGAACAGCATCCCACCACTGGAGGTCTACCTGTACTTTGTACAGTTTCAGGATAATCAATTGACTTTTATTCTAACTTAAATCTTAGCATTATTCTAAAGATTGCAGTGCATTTTGTAAAAAGATCTTAAGACAGGCACATGTGACCGTGTTTTATGGACTACATTAGGGAAAACTTGCAACAAACATTACATGCAACAGAATGTTTCTCAGTTTGTATATCATTTTGTCAATGCAATGTCAAAACAGAGTGATATTATTTTACAAGTCCCCCTGTGGTTGCCAGCTCCCCCTATTTATAGAAGAGTGGGAATTATATTTGAAAACGTGCTTGTAAACATACGGTGTTTTTAAAAAAATAATTCTGTTTGTACATTATTCTGTGCCCACGGTTACGCAAGCCTCATGTATTTGTCGACAGCTCGTTAAATTTCTAGTGCAATCAATCCCAAGAATTTCCAGAAGAATTTAATTATGAACCCAATGAAAGGTTGATGGCAACTAAGACAGTGCAGCTTGCTAACATGGCTCAGCTTTTGTTTGAATCTAACATTATTCTGGGGGAAATAGAAAGGGGAAAAGACTCGGTGGTGAGATTCAAATAATTTAAGAAACGGTTCGCCCAGGGTCAGGTTGGTTGTTGTGGGAGACATGGCCCATCCTCATCCTCCAGCTCCACCACACATGGGGGAACGAGCCTCCTGTGATGGCCAATCTGACTATGGGAGAACTGGTTGTTAAATTAAACCCACCCGCCTGGCTATCAGTGGATCCTGGGCGCTGCGCTGCAATGAAGAAACGGGCAACGGAGCGGCTGGCACGAGGGAAGGAGGAGGAGCAGGGAGAAGAAAGAGGGAAAGCGGCCTTCTCCTTCCCTCGCGCTGGCTGCTCCATTACCTGTTTCTCCATTGCAGCGCAGTGCCCAGGATCCATTTTGATAACGGAGTGCTGGTGGTGCCCATGGTATTCTCTGGCATTATTCTAACACAAGCAATCAATCCCAAAGGTGCTTTTTTTTTTCAGGAGGCAACTGGACTTCCTGTTTTTTTTTCTTTTGAAGATGTTTCCCTTCTCATCCAAGAAGCTTCTTCAGCTCTGACAGAACAGTGGGGAATGGAAGGATTTATACTCCTTGCAGACAGCTGGTCATTTGCATCCTTTTAGAGGGTCGTTGAGGCCACTTGGAGGTTTATCTGTGTCCTCAGGGTTACCTGATTGGCGATCCTGTTCCTGTAGTCTGCAATTTTTCTCTGGAAATCCATTCCTACTCTCATACCATGCCAAGGGTCTTCATCCCAAATTGTATAGCTAAAAGTCTGTAGAAATTCTCAGTCATCCTGGTCATGGTTGTCCCAAAGATGCTTTTTTCAAGAGGCAACTGGACTTTCTTGTTTTTTCTTTTGAGGACGTTTCGCTTCTCATCCAAGAAGCTTCTTCCGCTCTGACAGAACAGTGAAGAACGGAAGGATATCCTGTCAGAGCGAAAGACGCTTCTTGCATGAGAAAGTTCAAATGTTCAAAGCCTTTATTGTCATTGTGCATCATAGTATACAATTAAATTGTTTTAGCCTCTACTGGTGCAGTCCATACAGGAATACAAGACAACATGAATAATATAAAGAATAATCCCTATACAAGTGGTTAGCAAAAAAAATTAGTCATACGTTTCCATATGTACGTCATATTCTGCACAACATGTGTATTACTCTGGTGTAAGATCTTATATCATGGTATATACCAGTGATGGCTAACCTTTTCCTCATCATGTGCCGAAAGTGTGTGTGCGTGCCTCCAAGCATAATGCAATGTATGTACGACCCCCACCCCCTGCGCATGCATGTGTAACCCCCCTGCGCCCCCGCCCCTGCACATGCGTGCGCTCCTTCCCTCATGTGCACCTCCCTCCATGCATGAGCAGTAGACACTCAACAATCAGCTGGCTGGGGGGATGCATGCGCACATGCGCAGTGGCACTGTTGCCGGCAGAAATGGCTCTGCATGCCACTTCCAGCATGTGTGCCATAGGCTCGCCATCAGGGGTATATACATATTACACACTACACTAGCACCAGTGAAATTCGTCATATTAATCTGTTTGTGGTGCTATATTGTGTTTAGGAGTCTGACAGCCCGGTTTGTAAATCTGTTTGTCCAGCTGGCTATACTTTTGTGTATTCTGCCCAATGGTAAAAGGTAAAAGAAAAGAGACACTGGCCAGGGTGTGAATCAGACGTCTTTGAAAGAAAAAAAACAGAAAGTCCACTTGCCTCTTGAAAAAGTACCTTTGGGACAACCTGGATGAAATGAGAATCTCTACAGGCTTTTAGCTACAACTAATCAATATTTTTTCAATCCTACTTCTTCAAATTCCAACTTTTGCTTCCCCAGAATATCACACAGACACCTCATAATATCTGAATATTTCCCCCCAATACATTCATTGCTATACTACCGATTTATTAATTGCTCCTAATTTTTCCTTTGGCTCTTACACCATACTTATTTTGTAGAGCAAGATTTGATCTTTTGAAAGAAGTTGGAAAAGGGCTCAGTACAAAGATCAGAAAGATAAATTTAAAATAAAAACATTCAAATTTGGGGTTTTTTTTCATAATGGACAATTTGTAATCTTACTGTCGACGTGCCGGCTTTTTATATGTATAGCTTAAGAGAATTACTCGTCTTTTAATTTAAAAAGTTTAAAGAGAGAGAGAGGTTGAGAGAGAAAATACCTTGAATTGAAGGACGTAACCTGGTTTCAGCACTAAATCCCGGGTCACTGCAAACCGATCACCATCTGACTTGCCAAATATCATTGCTGATGGGGTAGCCGAACAAAACGTTTCATTTTTGGGCATCCCTTCATTCGCTAACATTAGCCACATGCTGAGCTGGTTCATGGGGTAATCAAAGGCTGGTTTCTCATAAAAGTTCTAGTTGATATTAAAAAGAAAGAAAACATTTATTTATTCGTTCATTCATTCATTCATTCATTCATTCATTCATTTATCACACTTGTATGCTGCCCATCTTGTCAAAGGTGACTACAGGCAGCTCCTAGACATTGAAGAAAATGAAAAGAAAGAAAACTAGGTACGAATAAATGGGGACAATAGGGCAGGGAGGGTAGGCACGATTCTGCACTTATGCACGCACCTTGCAGACCTCTTAGGAACGGGGTGAGGTCAATAGTGGATAGTTTGAGGTTAAAGGAGTGGGGGTTAGAGGATGTAACAAGAGTCAGGTAGTGCATTCCCAGGCATTGACCACTCTGTTGCTGAAGTCGTATTTCCTGCAATCAATCTTATTACCTGAGGCAGGGTGGGGTTAGCCAGAGGGATGATCTGTTTCAGCTTTTCGGAGAGAATGATGATGTCATCAATAGCCCACTGATCATAGCCCTCTCCCGAAAACACCGGCTGCCACCAACGGAATCGAGTGCAGGGGGTCTTTGCAGCAGGAGGGAGCTCCAGATAGACAAACCTAGAGGCAGACATTCCTCAGGTGTTAAAAAGCTAGGTGTAGGATGCAGACAAACACATGCATGCAAGTAAAAAGGATACCAGGGGAAAAATTGTTTCAACCAAACCAAGTTAAAATACAGATAATAAAAATTGCAACTGCTATCTTTTCCATTTCATTTAAGTCTATAGGTAATCCTATCCCACATCTGATACCTGTACAATTAGCACAGGGGCCCCTCAAGGCTGTGTGCTTTCTCCACTTCTCTTCTCCCTATATACCAATGACTGCATCTCAAATGATCCATCTGTTAAAATACTGAAGTTTGTAGATGATACAACAGTGATTGCTCTCATTCGAGACAATGACGACTCCACATACAGACAAGAGGTTGTACAACTTGCCTTGTGGTGTGACTGGAAGAATCTGGAACTGAACGCACTCAAAACCGTAGAAATGGTGGTAGACTTTAGAAGAAACCCTCCCATACTACCATCTCTTACAATACTAGACAACACAGTATCAACAGTAGAGACCTTCACATTTCTAGGTTCTATTATATCACATGACCTAAAATGGACACCTAACATCAAAAACATCATCAAAAAAGCACAACAAAGAATGTTCTTCCTGCGCCAACTCAGAAAGCTCAAACTGCCCAAGGAGCTGTTGGTCCAGTTCTAGAGAGGAATTACTGAGTCTACACCTCTATAACTGTCTGGTTTGGTTCTGCAACCAAACAGGGCAGACACAGACTTCAGAGGATAATTAGGACTGCAGAAAAAACAATGGCTACCAACCTGCCTTCAATCGAGGACCTGTATCCTGCACAAGTCAAAAAGAGGGCTGTGAAAATATCTACAGACCCCTCACATCCCAGACATAAACTGTTTCAACTCCTACCCTCAAAATGACGCTATAGAGTCTGGCACACCAGAACAACTAGACACGACAGTTTTTTCCCCAAAGGCCATCACTCTGCTAAACAAATAATTCCCTCAACACTGTCCAACTATTTAGTAAGTCTGCACTACTATTACTGTTAATCTTCTCATCACTCCTTATCACCCATCCCCTCCCACTTGTGACTGTATGACTGTAACTTTGTCACTTGTATCCTTACAATTTATATTGACTGTTTTCCTATGATTTGATTACCTATTTATATCCTGTGATACTATTAAGTGTTGTACCTGATGATTCTTGACTCTTGACAAATGTATCTTTTCTTTTATGTACACTGAGAGCATTTGCACCAAAGACAAATTCCTTGTGTGTCCAATCACACTTGGCCAATAAAGAATTCTATTCTTCTATTCTTGACTTACAACCATTTGTCTAGTGACCGTTGGAAATTACAATGGCACTAACAAAAGTAACTTAAGCACCGTTTTTCATACATACAAACATTGCAGCATCCCCATGGTCACATGATTAAAATTTGGGTGCTTGGCCACTGGCACCTATTCATGATGGTTGCAGCATCCTGGGGTCATGTGATCCCCATTTATAACCTTCTAAGTTGGCTTCCAATGACTAAAGTCAATGGGGGAAGCCAGATTTGCTTAATGACCATATGATTCACTTAACAACTGCAGTATTTCCCTTAACAATGGCCAAAAAAGGTCATGAAATAGGGCAAATTGATTTTACTGTTTTGCTTAGCAATGGAAATTTTGGGCTCCATTGTGGTTGCAAGCTGAGGACTACCTGTACACAATAAAAAGGAAAGCGGTGAGTGAGAAAAAGGAAACTTTTTAATGTGGTTTCAAAATGATAAGGGTGTTCATATATCAATTAATTTGAAACAGTAAATTAAACCTAGGCTATATGGAATCGTATCGTATGACGCAAGGCTACTTTGTAAGCTGATGATGTATAAAGTTCAACTCAACTTTACAATGCCAGGAATCTACTGTGCTTGTGCTAGTACACAATATGTATTTAATTAGAAGTTTATCTGACTCGAAGGGCAGCTGTTTGCAGTTAAAAAAAAACAGTTGGGCTATAATGTTTGGCTGAAAGACGGCAGTACTCCTTGTGTACTGAACCTGTACAATTCTAAAAAGCTCACGGATACATTATTATTATTTATTAAAGTCATATGCTGCTCACCTCACTGTTGCAGCCAATCTGGCTTATATAAAGGTTAAAAGATAACATGGAAGAATTTGCCAAGTGCAAATAACCAGGAACGTTCATTGAGTTCAAATATAGAAAAGTTTATTATTGCCACCTATTCACAAGACTCTGATCAAATAAGGGTGAAAGCTAAATTGATGCTTAGATAAGGCTCAATGGAATTCATGAGGGGGCTGGAATTGGGTGTCTTGTGGTTATGCAATGACTTCAAACTGATGACATGTTTAACGCCACCTTCCAGCTCAGCCTGGCTTCTCCCACACAATTACAATTACGAAAGATTAAATTTAAAAAAAATCTTAAAAACAAGAAGACAGGAGGGATATGGGGGAGGATTGTCTCTCTATATTAGGGGTCTTCAAACTTGGCAATTTTAAGATTGGTGGACTTCAATTCCCAGAATTCCCTAGGCAGCCATGCTGGCTGTGGGATTCTGGGAGTTGAAATCCATAAGTCTTAAAGTCACCAAGTTTGGATTCCATTGTTCTATACGGGTGTGTGTGTGTGTGTCAAACTTGATTTAATTGAGGGCCCTATCCAGGTTCGGTTTGACCTTGGGGGGCTGGGGGGGGGATAGGCATGGCCAGCTTGAAGTCACTCATGTTGGGGGTACCTGTGGTGGCCCAAGCATCCTGCCAGCGAAAACGGGCTCCCGAGCTCCGTTTAAGGCTGCGATGGCCTCCTGCAATCCTCTGCCAGCAAAAACGGAGCTCAGGAGGGCAAAGGACCAGCCCGCAGTGTCTCTGCCAGCAAAAATAGAGCCATCCTGAGCTCCATTTTTGCTGGCAGAGGCACTGTGGGCCGGTCCTTTGCTGTTTCCAGGATGGCCCCACGGGCCAGATCTAAGCACCCCATAGGCCGGATCTGGCCCCCGGGCCTTGACACCCCTGCTCTATACCCTCAGCCACCCCCAGCATAGAGAATCCCTACTGGGTCCCCAAACTGGCTGGCAGAGTCAGGTTTTCAGGTTCTTCTGGAAGGCCAGGAATGTGGGGGGCCGACTTCCCCTCCAATGGGAGAATATTCCAGAAGGGAGGGGCCACGGCAGAAATGGCTCTTCCCCTGGACCTCCCAGATGACATATTTAGCCAATGGGATCCAAAGCTGGAACGAGTGGGATGGGCCAATCCTCAGATAGGAATGTAAGGCTAATCATGCTGTTGTAGGTAGACATCAAGACTCTTCCACAGTACCTGGACTTGCTGAAGTCAGAGAAGTACATTTCTGCCAGGGCATGCCAGTTGATGCCTCCATTGTTGCTGTACTGCAAGAGAACTCCTTCTTCTCGGCTGTCTGGTTTGTTGCAGGAAGGACTCTCTCCGCCGATCTGAATGTAAAACTGGACAAAGTCTACCCAGGTGGTGTCCAGGTCCAAGCTCACCAATTGTCTCTTCCCAGCCTGGAAGCATACACGGAACAAGGAGAAAAAAAGCATTGTTGTTGTTGATGATGATGTTATCTAACCTCACACAGTGGACAATACAAAGTAGTAAAATTCACAAGGAGACTCAAATTGTAAGTGTGACCATGTGGGTGAGAGGTTCTCTCTCTCTCTCTCTCTCTCTCTCTCTCTCTCTCTCTTTGTCTCAATCTCTCTTTCCCTCTCAACCTCTCTTTTTCTCTCAGCCTCTCCTTCTCTATCAACCTCTCTTTCTCAGCCTCTCTTTTTCTCTCAATCTCTTTCTCTCTCAGCCTTCCAATCTCAATCTCTTTTAGCCTCTCTTTCTCTCTCAATCTCTCTCTCTCTCAATCTCTCTATCAACCTCTCTTTCTCACTCAGCTTCTTTCTCTCTTTCTCTCAACCTCTCTATCAACTTCTTTCTCACTCAATCTCTCTCTCTCAGCCTCTATTTCTCTCTCAATCTCTCTCTCAGCCTCTCTTTTTCTTGCAGTCTCTCTCTTTCAGCCTCTCTTTCTCTCTCAGCCCCCGTCTCAATCTCTCAATCTCTCTCTATCAACCTCTTTCTCAGCCTCTCTTTCTCTCTCAATCTCTCTCTCTCTCAATCTCTCAATTTCTCTATCAACCTCTCTTTCTCACCCAGCCTCTCTTTCTCAATCTCTCTCTCTCTCAGTCTCTCTTTCGTTCTCTTTCTCTCTTTCTCCATCTACCTACCTACCGACAGATTTGGCCCTTGTTGGGTTCATGTCAATGAAACTGGTGGTTTAGCTAAGGAAATGTAGATGAATTGACTATATAAGCACTTTAAAAGTTATGCAAGCATGATTTTTATCCTCTTTTTACAATGATGGATATTTTTTCTATTCAGATTATGAATAGACCCATCTAGGAGAAAAAGTGAGAGCTATTTCTCTCAGCCGATTTAGAAAATGACATATTAAAAAGTGTTCATTTTAATTATTTATTATTGTTATTTCAAAATACATAACAATATGGCTGGCTGAAGAATTCTGGGAGTTGAAGTCCACGAGTTTTAAAGTTGTCTGTATCGAAACGACTAAACTTTCAGGGATCATTTCTATAGTATCCAACTAGAGAAATGCACTCAAACACTGGAGGCTTTCAAGAAGACATTGGACTGCCATCTGTCAGAAATGGTGTGGTCTCCTACTTGGGCTGGGGGTTGGACTAGATGACCTACAAGGTCCCTTCCAACTCTGTTAATCTAAAAGTGATTGGCTGATCTGTATTGCTTCGGTCCATGGTTTCCTATTCACCATATTCTTTCATTATACACCAGCTAATTTTCTATTGCCAAATGTAAATTGGTAGAATACAATAGGGATATTATTTTAAAATATAATCTGACTTTAGAACTACCTAAAATATGAATCAAATGAAAAGTAACAGCGAGACCTAAGTTGATGTATTCCTTCATCAAAGACTGTATAATTTCTTTCTTCCACTTTCTCTTTTACTGAAGAAAATCTGGTCTTTGATAGGATGATCTATATATTAGTGAACATGACATGATATTCTGGCTCTGGGTTCAAGCTGTGTGCATTTCCTAAGATAAACCAGCTATCTCGTTCCCCATGTAAACAGCCGAAATGCAATTCCAGATAGAATTGTTGTCGCTGTCGAAGCCTAAAATACAAAATCTCCTTTACCAGTGAGATGAATCATTACATCAATAGGTTTTAATTTTTTTCTTTTTTACAAAACAAAAAGACTAATTATTAAAATCACAAAGGAAATGTGGGGGGAGGAGATGAATTAAAAGAAGAGCACCCTGCCAAGAACCTTACATCCATAAAAAATAAAATTGCAGGCATTATAATGTAGAATTGCATTCTGAATTGAAAGGTTGCAACCATTTCTTGCACAGTTTCTTTTAAAAGAAAAATTATCTTTTAAAAAAAATATGCCTAGGACAGCTGCCTGTAAAAAAAAAAGTCTTTGATTAAAAACATCTCAGTCAGGCTGTTGCCAAGGTTAGTGACAGTGAGTGAAGCTTTAAAGAGGATATACCCAACACCTGCACCCTACAGATTAAGGAACTGCCTCCGACGCATCCAAGGAGCTGCTGAGGATTAACAATAATTGTTCACCCCTCAGACTGTGTATATCATCAAACATTAGAGCCACACAATCAATCTCTGACATCTGTTGGGAGCTCGCTGGGACAGCCAGCCGTGGCTTTCCGCGGCGTTCCTCAAGCGGCGCACAACAAGGGAAGCGAAACTCACACCCTGTTTCTTTCATCACGCCCGAATGTCAAAGAATAAAGGGTGAGAATGCACGACCTTGGACAACCGCAAAAGCAAGACTTTCATTGTTGTTTGTGAGCGAGTCTATCTATTCAGGTAGGAGGAGTGAATTAGGAGTGGCTGGAACCACTTTTTCTCAAGAGTGCAAACTGAAGAAGGGCTTGCTGGTTTTTGTCGTCCCCCTCCCCCCCACAAATAAATGGGACACCGAAACATCCCGCTTTTGTTAGCTGTGGTTTTAAGTGCTCTTTTCTTTCTAAGCTTCATCGGGTTTTCTGAGCCATAATCCGAGCGACAGGTCTACGTTTAAGACACAGCCATCTGCTGGCCTTATCACCTTCCCATCTGCAGGTTCTTATAAGTGATGATCCAGCTGCCCCTTTTTCTCCTTAGAGCCACTTCCTTCTCCTCCAAATTTCATGCTCTGGAGCAGGGGTCACCAACCTTTTGAACCTCAGAGACCACCAATCTCATAATTTTAAATCCCGTGGACCAGAGACCCTGGGAAAATCCCCCAAAAAGTCTGCAGGAAAATTCCCCACCCCATTTTCCTACTGATTGATCATTCTTTATTTGGGATCGCAGGATACCATCTCCAGCTCCATTCTCATGGGGAGAAAGAGAGAGAGAGACTTTGGGCTTCATGCAAGGAAAGCAGCAGAAGCAGCAGAAGTCTTTCTTTCTCTCCCCCAAACTCTGCCAGAAATGAGTCTTTGTGAGACTTGTCGCACCAGCGCAGCCTCTTGGAGCAGGAGGCCTTGCAGGGTCCCATAGACTCATTTCTGGCAGAGTTTGGGGGAGAGAAAGAAAGACTTTTGCTGCTTTCCTTGAGTGCAGCCAAAAGCAGAAGAAGAAAGAAGCAGAAAGAAGCAGCCCGGTGGCCAAGCCAGGCACGTGGGGTACATGGGGCAAGTCCCTCCCCTTCACCCTTTCCCCCCTCCCCTCACTACCTCGTGTTGTTCACAATGCAAGCGACGCAAGCCTTGTGTTCCCGCGCAGCCTGGATTAATTGCTTTGGGGGGTGCTTTGGGGATGACATTTCTCTGCGGACTACCAAAATTTTCTCATGGACTACTGGTGGTCCCTGGCGCACTGGCTGGTGACCACTGCTCTGGATGAAATGTTTTGCTTGCTTTCTCCATCACCCAGACATCTCTTTCAGCTCACTTTATAACTCTGTTCTCTTCTCTTCTTCTTTGTTGTTCAATGACTCCATCATCCCTTACAAGGTGGAGTCTGGGCAACTGAATGGAGCTGAGTGTTTACTGACCGGATGCCCTTCCTGTTGCCAATGCTGAGTTTTATTCAGGAGATATATTCTCATTGTGCCCAGAGAGAGAAATATCTGCCTCTACCTAGGATGAAATTCACAGCCTCCTGATTGTGAGGTGAGAGCGCCACCTTCTAGGCACCACATTTTATGACTCTGTCCTCTGATGAAGGAGATAGGTAACGAGGATAACTTTCATAGTTAGCTGGTCCCCAACATATGACCAGAATTGAGCCCAACATTTCTGCTGCTCCGTGAGACATTGGCTAAGTGAGTTTTGCCCCATTTTACGACCGTTCCTGCCACAGTTGTTAAGTGAATCATGGCAATTGTTGAGTTAGTGACATGGTTGTTAAGGAAATCTGATTTCCCCCATGACTTTGTTTGTTGCAAAAGTGGATCAAATCACCGCGGGACTCTGCAACCGTCATAAATATGAGTCCGTTGAATTTTGATCACTGCCATGGTTGTAAGTGTAAAAAAAAAGGTCATAAGCCACTTTTTTCAGTGCCATTATAGCTTTGAATGGTCACTAAATGAGCTATTGTAGCTGTTATGCCTATGAGTTTGAGCGAGAAAGTTATAGCTATTCCTGTGAGACTGGTTGCTGCAGCTTCGAGGCTTCCCAGTTGGAAGAAGGAAGGGGCCACATACCAAACTGCGCTTGGACTGACCGTTAGGCAAACATCTTGTCTGAACGTTATTGGTTACACTGGGATGGACAAGGAGAGCCAGTTAAGGGAAGGAAAAGTAGGACTTAAAGAGATATTGGAGCGCAATTCTCAGTTCTGGCTTTGCAAAACAGCAGTACATTTGATCTCTAATAAAACTATACCTTTCTCAACAAATGGAGCCACTGCACACCAGAACAACTAGACAGAAAGACAGGCTTTCTTCCCCATGCCATCACTCTGCTAAACAACTAATTCCCACAACACTGTCAAACTATTTAGTAAGACTGTATTAATATTATTCTTCCCAACTTTCCCATTACCTATCTCCTTTTTAACTTATGACTATAATTTTGTTGCTTGTATCTTTACAGTTTATATTGTTTTATTTAGTTATTGTTTTATTATTTTATTTCATAATATGATTTATGTTGATTCTATCACTGTGTTGTATCTTAATGATTTATGATGAATGTATTTTTATGATGACTATGATTTATCACTTATAGCTTTTATGTACAATGAGAACGTATGCACCAAAGACAAATTCCTTGTGTGTCTAATCACACTTGGTCAATAAAGAATTCTATTCTATTCTATTCTATTCTATTCTATTCTATTCTGTTCTGTTCTGTTCTGTTCTGTTCTGTTCTGTTCTATTCTATTCTATTCTATTCTGTTCTGTTCTGTTCTGTTCTGTTCCTATTCCATTCCCATTCCATTCCTATTCTTATTCCATTCCTATTCTATTCTATTCCATTCCCATTCCATTCTTATTCCTATTCCTATTCCCATTCCCATTCCTATTCCTATTCCTTGCCATCCTATTCCTATTCTATTCTATTGTATTCTATTCTATTGTATTCTATTCTATTCTATTATATTGCATTGCATTGCATTGCACTGCACTGCACTGCACTGCACTCTACTCTACTCTACTCTACTCTACTCTACTCTACTCTACTCTACTCTACTCTGTTGTGGCAAATCCGACATTCCCAAGTTAAAACATTCAAGCCCAAAAAGTAAAACGAGGGAAGAATGTCTTCTTTGTGTTTTATGATCTATGCCATTCTGCTACCTTTCTTTCTTGATCGCATTATATTGAGTGAATGGATAGATATACCTTGTTGAAATAAAGAGAGGATCCAGAAGAGATCACTCCGCAGCCTTGTTCTGGTTTTACAATCTCTCCACCAATGACTTCCTGCCATTCTTTTGCCAAAGTGTTGGGATTCTCAAAATCAGACATTATCGTTGAAGGCAGATTATTTTCAGGGTGGCATTCAGTACCTTGGTATCCAGAGTCACATCTGCAGAGGAGAACAAACACATTGTATGCCCGTGAGGGTATCAATACAGCACAAACAAATGAACATCCAAGTGCCTTTTGATGGGAACATGTGTCACGTATTTACATATATCTTTGTTATCTATCATCTAACAGAGTTATATAGATCAGGGGTCTCCAACCTTGGCAACTTTAAGACTCATGGACTTCAACTCCCAGAATTCCTCAGCCAGCTTTGCTTTGCTGGCTGAGGAATTTTGGGAGTTGAAGTCCACGAGTCTTAAAGTTGCTAAGGTTGGAGACTCCTGATATAGATGGCTTGTCACACTATATCATCATCTCCATTTAATGACCCCATATAATCCCTTGAGGGGTGGAGTCTAGGCAACTGAATGGAGCTGAGTGTTTGCTGACCAGATGCCCTTCCTGTTGCCAATACGGAGTTTTGTTCAGCATATACATTCTCAGTGTGCACAGAGAGAGAAATATCTGCCTCTACCTAGGATCAAACTCATAGCCTCCTGATTGTGAGGCGAGAGCTCCACCTCTAGGCCACCCCACCACTCGCTTGTCACACTATAAGAGGTGAGCAAAATGTAAGGTTTGCTCCTCTATAATCCAAAATCTCATTCAGTATACAGGTAATCTTCGACTTACGATCACAAAGAAGCCCAAGATTTCCCTTGCTAAGTGAGATAGCTGTTCACTGAGTTTTGCCCCATTTTACGACCTTTCTTCTCACCGTTGTTAAGTGAATCACTGTACTTGTTAAGTTAGTAACCGGATTCTTAAGTGAATCTGGCTTCCCCATTGACTTTGCTCAACAGAAGGTCGCAAAAGGGGACCCCCTCCCTGGGATGCTGAGATCGTCATAAATATGAATCAGTTGCTAAGTGTCTCTAATTTTGATCGCGTGACCATGGGGATGCTGCAACAGTTGTTAAGTGTGAAAAATGGCCATCAGTTACTTTTTTCAGTGTCGGTGTAAACTCTGAATGATTCCCTAAAGAAACTTACAACGGCATTGGAAAAATAGTGACACTTAACTGATTCTCACACGTACGACTGCTGCAGCATCTCTGGGGGTCATGTGATCAAAATTCAGACCCTTGGCAACTGGCTTATATTTATGGTGGTGGCAGTGTCATCCCAAGGTTCGTGACCCTCATTTGCAACCTTCCCAGCCAGCTCCCGACAAGCAAAGTAAATGCAGCAAGCCATGTCATGTCCCTATCGGAATCGGAATCTGAGAAGGAAGTTGAACATCCGTCGGGGAGCAGGGGAGTGGCTCCATTGGGTGTGGAGGAAACTGGGGAAGAGCAAAGTCAGGCTGGGCAGAGCAGGGGAGAGGTAGAACAAAGGAGAGGGAGTTCAGAGGAAGACCAAGGCCCAGCCCCTCTTCATCCTAGAGCACGCAGGGAAGAACGGAGAAGAGAGCAATGTGAGTTGCATGGCTTACAGGGGAGGAAAGGGCCCTGATTCCCTTCACAAGGCACACCTGGGGAGGGAGTTTAAAGGGGAACCAGTTGGGAGGGGCATTTGTCAGGAACAAACATTGAGTTTATTTAATGTTGGCTGCTGTTATCTGAGTTCCTGGCATCCTCCCAACTGGTTTGATTTACTGCCATGTTACTTCACTTCTGGAACTCCTTATTGTGCCCTGTCAGATTTATTATCGTATCTTGCTTTGTTGGATTTATAGTTTAAAGTTTTCTGTCTTTACCGTTTTGGATTGGAATATCTGCAGTCAAAGGCTGTTGCAGGTTCCTGGGAGAGTTTTTCTCCAGACCGGAAGGTAATCGGCACATTGGGGGCAAAGTTGGAGCTAATAAAGAGACCTCTACTTATTCTCTGGCTGGGTTGCCTTTGTGCCACGCCCCGGGTCATCGCAGATTCATTTTACAACCGTGTCACTGACTTAAGAACCGCAGAGATTCATTTAATAACAGTGGCAAGAAAGATCACAAAATGGGGGGAAGATTCACTTAACAGCTGTCTTGCTTAGCAACAGGAAGTTTGGACTGAGTTGTGGTTGTAAGCTGAGAATTACCTGTAATTGCAAAGAACAATGAACAGTGGGACAACTTGACTCCAGAAGTTGTGAATGCTCCAACACTGGAAGTTTTGAAAAAGAGATTGGAGAACCATTTGTCTGAAATGGTGTAGGGTTTCCTGCCTGAGCAGGGGTGGACTAGAAGGCCTCCCAGATCCCTTCCAACTCTGTTCTTTTTCTCTAACAGCAAACAAACAGGAGATACCTGCAAAAGCCATGATCGCACCAGCCATGCCCGTTGCACATATTTGGGCACTGCTGTCCTATATAGATGTTGTCCAGGGCCCATTCATCTTGAGAGGTGTAATAGCACTGACTCCAGCGGAAACGTGTTGCACTGGACCTAGAAAGAAGAATTAAAAATTGTGTGGTCATTAAAAGCATGCACAAATCTGTGAGGAGGAGCTAACTAATCGTAATGAACTATGGCGGCGCAGTGGTCAGAGTGCAGTACTGCAGGCTACTTCTGCTGACTGTCGGCTGACTGCAATTTGACAGTTGAAATCTCACCAGGCTCAAGGTTGACTCAGCCTTCCGTCCTTCCGAGGTCGGTAAAATGAGGACCCAGATTGTTGGGGGCAAGATGCTGACTCTATAAACTGCTTAAAGAGGGCTGTAAAGCACTATGAAGTGGTATATAAGTCTAAGTGCTATTGCTACTCCTTCCTTCCTTCCTTCCTTCCTTCCTTCCTTCCTTCCTTCCTTCC